CCCCCCCCAAAAAAAAACTTGTCAAGAAAACCCCATGAGAGGGCCACCATAAGGCTTGAGGGCACACAACAAAGCCCTCGATTTAAAACCTGGCCTCTTCGGGAAGGAGACATGACATGTTTCCCATCTTTCTCTGGGGATGCTAATGTCATCCTTTTCTTTGCTCTATTTATTATGAATCCGCCTTCATTTAAAAAAACCAAAAACCAAAAACACAAATACTATTTCTTCAGGAAATGGATCTTCCTTTTCCTTTTCATTCCATGCAGTGCATCTGTGAAAGCAGTCTACATACATTAGTGGAGATGCCCATAATTACGTGCAGGTTCTCCATGCAATCCGCCGCTCCAACGGATGCAAAGGAAGTTGGCTCGTTGCTTTCCTAGCTATTATGAGAACGGTTTCCCATTCCGGGCATTTCTGTTTGGTACACAAACAATCTCTTCCATGCACCTCTGAGTTTTTAAATAGACTATTTCAGTGGGCGATGGAGAGAAGAGAGAATAGAAGGCTTCGACAAGATCTCAACAGCGACCCCTGGCGACCAAAAGTGGCACGACATCCCTGTGTAATGTCAAAACCCCACCAGCCCCATTTCTGGTGACCTTTAAATGATGATGATGATGATGAAGAAAGAATTAATAATGCTAGGTATTATTATTATTATTATTATTATTATTATTATTATTATTATTATTATTATTATTATTATTATTATTATTATTATTATTATCATCTCCCCCTTTCTACAAATCTAATTATATGCCTTTGCAGACTGCCAGAAATAGTGCAAATTGAGTCCACTTTAACTGCCCTGACTCAGTGCTAGGGAGATCATGGGAACTGTAGTTTATTGTGGCACCAGAGCTCTCTGACAGAGAAGGCTCAATGTCTCAGAAAAAAATACAATTCCCATGATTCCTTAGCACTGAGCCAGGGCAGTTAAAGTGGATTCAATTTGCACTATTTCTAGCAGTCTGCAAAGGCTATAAGTTCTCTAGGCTAATGAGGTTCCCTCGTGGGCCACATGAATGAAAGGCTTTTTATGAGTCTCAAAGAAAAGGGGAAACTCGTATAACTTTTATAAGACGCCCGATCATTTTATATATATATATA